CGGGGGTCCTTGGTGGTGGGGCGACCTGAGCGGCCCGCGGGGCACAGTGGGCCCAGGCAGGGGACAGCAGTACCTACAGGCCCAGACCGCCTCTCCAGCTTCGTGGGTTGCCCGGCCGCCCAGCCTCTAAACAACCCTTTATTTACTTTTTATTGCCTGGGGAACGCCTAGAAATGAGGCTGTCGATTTTCTCCTGAGTGCGGGGGCAGGTCCTCTGCAGATGGGACCCTCCCCCTCTTGATTACCTGTGACCACCAGGGGCACAGCCAAGCCCATCACGCATGGGCAGCTGCCAGGTGCACACAGCAGCAGGTGACCCGAAGCCTGCCCAGCTGCAGGGGCCAAGCGGCCGGAGCCCTTCGATTGGGGCTGGGGGCTGGGGGCTGGCGTCCACGACTCTGCTCACACAGAATGGGGCTTTGGGGATCCGCTATGGGTGCAATGCCACGGTGGGCACAACCTGTCCTCAGCTGAGAACAAGCCATTGGGAGTAAACTGGAGTTCAGATGTGCCTTTGTCTTGATTCCAGTCTGTGGGACTCATCTGACCTCTGCTGGAGGAAGGCGATGCAGCCCTGTGGCCCAGAGCAATAGTGATGCAGGGGGCAGAGCTCCACCCCAGATTCCATGCCTGGGTCTCCGTCCTTGCCCTGGGACTCACTCTGAAAAGAACGGGGCAGCCACAGGCACCAAGGACAGGTGACCTGCCGCCAGGGCCAGCCGGGAAAGCAGGGAGCCGTGAGAGCTGCAGGGTGAGCTGCCTACCTGGGTATGGTACCCGCCCGTAAGTGACAACTTCCATCAGGAGGACTCCAAACGACCACACGTCTGCTTTGATGGTGAAGACCCCGAAGTGGATGGCTTCCGGGGCTGTCCACTTGATGGGGAACTTGGCCCCTGTGGGAAAAGCCATGCACAGCTTTGGGAGGCCACGGCCGGTGGCCCCTACCCTCCATCCTCACCCCTACCCCTGCTCCTGCTGTCCTTCCCTCAAGCCCTCACTGCGGGGCCTGGAAAGGCGGGGCGGCCTGGCATGGTGGGAGCCATTACCACACACCAGGACACATGGCCAGGTGAGTGCAGACACGGCATCTGCGGCACAGAAAGAGGATATGGACACCAATAGCACGTGGTCACCCACTTTGGCTCTTTAAAAAGAGAGCAAGTGACCTCAATGGCAGCCACCATGTTTCCACCTGGGATGGAAGGGGCCTGTTTCACCTTACAGGGGCTTTGTTTAATTAAAAAAACATGGCCTGGGCAAGCCATTTAAACCTGCCCGCGCCTCCGTTAGTCCCTTCCTGCAAAATGGAAACGGTGACACTTGTACCTCCGAGGGCCACTATGAGAAAGGACTCACATCCGACTGCCCTGTGAAGCAACTCAATGGCTGCAGCCCCGGCCAGCATTTGGAGCAGACCTCAGGGCTTGGCACTTCACAGCCTCCCCTGGCCTCCATTTCTCGGTCTCCCCAGCCAGCCTGAAGTTCCCGAGAGAACAAGCCATATCCTGTCTGCTTGTCATCTGACTCATATGCTCATCGACACTGCTTGTTTGCTTGATAAATGTGTGTGACCGCTTCAGATTCTCTTGTGACCTAGATTTCCACCTCAGTTACATTCACAGAGTAAAACACAGTGCTCCGTGGATACCCTAATTCAGGTTGGTTTGCTGCTCGCACATGAGAGCTGTGTTTCCCACAGTGTGCTCTGTGAAGGCCTAATTCTGTGAAAGGTTAACAGGTGCTACATAAAAATAGTATTTAGGCGTGGCTTACGCCAGTCATCCCAGCACTTTGGGAGGTCAAGGCAGGTAGATCACCTAAGTTCAGGAATTCGAGACCAGCCTGGCCAACATGGTGAAACCCCATCTCTACTAACCATACAAAAATTAGCCAGCTGTAGTGGCACACGCCTGTAATCCCAACTACTTGGGAGGATGAGGCAGAAGAATTGCTTGAACCCGGAGGCAGAGTTTGCAGTGAGCCAAGATTGTGCCACTGCACTCCAGCCTGGGGGACAGAGACTCCATCTCAAAAAAAGAAAGGTAGTATTTGGAGCTCAAATTAGTTTGGGAGGCACTAGGTGAGGCAAACATAAACTGGTTCTTTGCTGCAGGACTTCTCAGTGCCTTTAATATGTTGATATGCACTGGGAATCTCCAAGGCAGTGACTGGGGTGGACTACTGTTTCTCCAAACCTACTTTATCCTAAAGTTGTTCCTCCACGGGAGGTCTCAGGGCACTACCATTCTGCTGAACACATTTGGGGAAATGAAGGAAATGCTGATCTAGAGTTGTAGAACCGTATAGCCCTCATGTGTCTTCCGTCAGGGCTGTGCTGGGAGAAGTTAAAGGGGGCTTTGGGGAGCTGGGGAAGATAAGGTCCCAGGTTTCCCTTGTGGTTGGGGGCTGTGCTTACCCTCTTGGGCCGTGTATTCACTGTCGATGATTCGAGCCAAGCCAAAATCAGCAATTTTGCAGCACAAGGCCTCGGATACTAGAATGTTGGCCGCCCGCAGGTCGCGGTGGATGGAATTCATGCGCTCGATGTAAGCCATCCCTTCGGCAATCTGAGGGAACAGGCACATGGTAAAGGACAGCGTGGAGGCCTCCACGCCAGGACCAAGCCCACCCCGTGCCCCCTGCACAGCCCCTGTGGGCTGCTGGGGAATGAGCTTCTTCTTGGGCAGAGTAGAAAGGTGGCTGTGTTGCTCCTCAGCCGAATAAACTACTCTCCTAGAATACCAGAATGGCAGTGCAGCGACGTGGGCATCAGAGACACAGGGGCTACCTGTGCCCCTCCCCCTCCTTGTTCTTCCTCCACACAGCTGTGTCCAAGGGTCTGCAGAGAAGGAAGATAGAAGAACACAGGCAGGAGAAAAGGAGAGGGAGGGAGAAGAGAAGAAAGGGGAAGGAAGGAGGGGGAGCAGGAGGCAGGGACAGACAGCTCTCCCTGGCTGGCTGGAAGCACAGCTCCTGGAGCTGGAAGCCCTCAGTTGGAGTCGCTGACCTCCAGCAAGCTGCTTAACCTCCCCAGGGGGCCACAGCCCTGACCTGGAAAGTGAGGGATGTGGTCTCCAGGGCGTGGGGTTGAGGCAAGCATTAGACGAGGTGATTTGTGACCTAGGACTTTACCCAGCACCTGCCCCGTGGGGGCACCCAGGGAGCACTGGCAGATCCAGGTGGACAGAGGCCATGAGGAAGAGGAGCCTCGTCTCTCCTCCCCCGATCACTAGCCTGGGCCAGGGATGGCAGCTGGTGCTGCTCGGCGCCTTTCAGCCTACAAAACTAAGGCTTTATTCACCCAATCAGTGGATGAAGAAACTGAGGCAGAAAGCAGACAGCCTATTTACCTTATCAGACATGCGACTGCAAGAAGCCAGCACTAGAACTGATTCCACTTCTCCTTATGCTTTCATTTCATTGGTTTATCTATGAATCCATCCATCCATCCATGCATCCATCCATCCATCTGTGCATCCATCCATCCATCCATCCATCCACCCACCCATCCACATATCCACGCATCCATGCATCCACCCATCCACCCATCCATGCATCTATCCATCCATCCACCCATCCATCCATGCATCCACCCATCCACCCATCCATCCATCTACACATCCATCCATCCATCCATCCATCCATCCATCCATCCATCCATCCACACATCCATCCATCCATCCATCCACCCACCCATCCATCCATCCACACTTCCATCCATCCATCCATCCATCCATCCATCCATCCATCCATCCATCCATCCACCCATCCATCCATGCATCCATCCATCCACCCATCCATTCACGCATTCATCCATTTATCTATCCATCCATGCATCCATCCATCCATCCACCCACTTATCCATCCATCCATCCATCAATCCATGCATCCACCCATCCATGCATGCATCCATCCATCCATCCCTTTGCTACACTGTTCAATCAATATACATATATTAGTATGGGACTGTGGGGAATATAAAACTGAGCACTAAATATATCTGGGCAGCATCTAACAGCACTCATTCTGATAACTAATATTTATTGAGCAGTACCAGAAATAAATTTAAAAATGTTGAGTAGGACCCAGTTCTGCTTAGCAAGAACAATGCTTCTGGGAACAACTGAGCTAAGGGCTCTCTAGCAGTTTCTTGTCCAGGGAAACCATCATAGAAATGACATTACACTTCAGCCATGGGTGATGATAAGGATTCTGCCGGGTGGGAAGGGTTCAAGACTTCCTGGGCAGAGGAGGCAGAGGGGTGGCAAGGCATGGGGCATGGGAACCAGTGCCATCTGGCTGCAAAGTGGGGCCCGAGGGATTGTGGCTGCAGGGTTCTTGTGGGGTTGGCCAGATCTGGCCTTGGAGGAAAGGTCTGGTGGGACTTTGCCTTGCTTCCTATGGAGTAAGAAGAGCCCGGAAGGGCGGGGTGTGTGTCTGCTCATGTGTGTGTGAATTTGTGTGTTTGTGTGTGAGTTTGTATGTGTGTTTGTGAGTCTGTGTGTTTGTGTTTGTGAGTTTGTGTGTGAGCTTGTGTGTGTGACTCTGTGTTTGTGAGTCTGTGTGTCTGTGTGTTTGTGTGTGACTCTGTGTTTGTGAGTCTGTGTGTCTGTGTGTGTCTGTGAGTCTGTGTGTTTGTGTGTGAGTCTGTGTACGTGAGTTTATATGTGTCTGTGTGTGTGAGTCTGTGTGTTTGTGTTTGTGAGTTTGCGTGTGAGCTTGTGTGTGTGACTGTGTTTGTGAATCTGTGTGTCTGTGTGTGTCTGTGAGTCTGTGTGTCTGTGTGTGTCTGTGAGTCTGTGTGTTTGTGTGTGAGTCTGTGTATGTGAGTCTATATGTGTCTGTGTGTGTGAGTCTGTGTGTTTGTGTGTGAGT